GCGCCTGTAGTTCCGGCTACTCGGAAGGCTGAGGCGGAAGGATCGCTGGAGCCCAGCAGGTCGAGGCTGCGGTGCCCGTGAGCGTGCCGCTACACTCCAGTCTGGGCGACGGAGTGAGACTCCTACTCAAAAAAAGAGTTAAGAAAAAGACCAAAAGGCTTGAGTACCACTAAAGGCATAAGAGATAAGTGACAACATACACACACACACTCAACCTCTTCCTTACCTCTCTGCCTTGGAAGACTATTACTGCTATTTATATCACAGAAATTTCTAACAACTCAAACTCTCTAGTGACCAGTAAAGAAAGAAGTCTGGTGGGGGTAAAACTGGACAGAAAGTTAAAGGCAAAGAAATTAAATGCTTCCTTTTCTGTTAGTAAGCTGCCATCTGATTGAAGGCAAAATTCTAGGCAATTAAATAAAAGATGTTTCAAAATTAACTAGCCCCCATCATGTTTATGCCATAAGCAATAATTTATTGCTTTCATGTTTCTTCCACAGCTGCTTGAAAATTCATACAAAACCCTAAGCTATTCTGTGCAAAAGCTAGATTCTCAGAGGCTGATATAATACACTTATCCTCAATGAAAAAACTATTCTATCCAAATTGATGCCTGTGCAGAAAATGCCATACTTGCATATTAAAAAGAGAATGCAAGGCTTACTACAGATAAAAACAGAATTAATTTCTGAGTCATAACATTTCTCACAACTTCTGTAACCTAAAAATTTAAATCAACAACCTCAAAGCAGCCAATTTCATGTACCAATCTAAAGGAAAGAAAATTGTGCTAACAGACTTACTTTTTAGCGCCATTAGCAGTCATTTTATTCTGATACACTACTCAAATTGAGAAACAACTCAGTTTAATATGTGAGAAAAGGCTGCATAGATTAACCTTAATTTGCTTAATACTGGAAAGTCTTTCTTGTCATCAAAATATTTTTATAACTCAGTACCAAATTGCAAATGACCATTTAACTAAGCTATTAGGAAAGCTCTGGGTATTATCCAAGTTACTTCACTTTCCAGGTATGTTTATCATTCAGTCATCCTATAATACAAGAAATCTCAAGAAAAAAAAAATACCCCTGCTTCAATGCTATTTTTCATCAGAAGACTTTAATTTAATGCTCTTCTGCTTATTTCTGACTACAAGCATAAGTAGTCCAAGAGTGATGTCATGGAAAACAGCTTCCCTTGCCTTTAGAGATTGGATCCAGTGAGAATTCTAGGAAAAGTCTCTATTGGAAAATAAACCCCAAATCTTCTAAGTTAGATTCTAACATGAAATCGCAAATACTGTAATATTAGCATTTTAGTTCTCCACAAGAGTTACGCAACTAAGGTCTTGATCTTATGCTCCTGATTCCTTATAAATCTTTAAAGCTTATGATGCAGAATCATTAACTAAATTCAGAAATCAGTGACAAAGGATAATTTTTCTATGCATTCTTAATTGCTTCAGTGATTCTGCCAGATGAGCTTTAAGGACCTTATATTAAAAAACAAAAATCTGAGAATATATTTTGCCTTTCCTAGTTTCTTTAACCAAAAGTCAAAATTTCTAATTCTGAAAAGATCTTCCACTTTTGGACCAGCAGCAATATAACGTATACCCACAGCAGAGATGAACTCTGAGAACCTCTCCAATGATTCCTAAAATGGCAATCATAATTATCCCCTATTATTCTCCCCCTGTTGCTGCTGTTCCTTGAAAAACAGCCACACTCCTACCTCAAGGCCTCTCTATTTGCTGTTCCTTCTGCCTGGATTACACTATCCCCAGATACACACAGCTCCCTTTGGGTCTCTAGTGTCATCACACTGAGGCCTTCCCCCAGTACTCGTTTAAAATTGCAAAATCCCACCTGCCCCATCAACCTAACAATCCTCATCCTCCTTCCCTGCTGTATTTTGCTCTGCCTATATTAAAGGGTGATATAGGCTATTTTACTTATTTCGTTTCCTTTCTGCTTCAAATTTTTTGCTTTGTTTCACTGACTGTTAATAACTCCAGCACCTAGAACAGTGCTTAGCACATAATAGGTGCTTTAAAAATACTTGTTGGACGAAGGGATAAATTTAATCCTCACAACCCTCCATGTTCTATAACCATCCCTGACTTAAAGATGAGAAAAACCAAAGCTCACAGAGGTTAGGTAACTTGCCCAAGGCAATGATTATTAAGAAGTTGTGAAGCTGGGGTCTGCCTGACTTCAGAGCCTGCACAATTAACCACTATTCTACAATGCCTCACCAATGACTCCCTGTCTTTCATTTATCCTCAATTAAAAAAAAACAAAAACCACCCCATGAGCTACAGCATTCCAATTCAGGAGAAATACATGCTTATAAATTAATCCACTCTCCCCCAAGTTAAAGATTCATTCTCCTCATAGTTAGCATTATTCACTCTCAAAACATTTGTACTGGGAAAGTCCAAGCTTGACAACAGTCCATCTACATCATTTGTGGTGATCCTTGTTCAAAATCAGGAAAAAAATGTCGTTAAAGGTACTAAAATATAGTTTTTTCCTTTCTTCTGTCTCTCTCGATTGTCGCGATGTTTTTAAATTTGCTGTTTAATGTCGTTCTAAGTAAAGAAAAATTAAAAGTTTTAATTATTAGCATGAATTTTACCATTCACTTTTATGTTGTACAATGCCAATTTTACATGCAGATTATTAAACCAAGTGTGAGGCCCTTCTGAACACCCATAAAGCCAAGCTTGCCCTGGTTCCAAGATTGAGTTTCCCAGATAACCCAAATCAAGGCAGAGAGAAGGTTAAACCTTGAAATTCTCAATAAAGCAGTGATTTGTCAAAATTTTATCTTCAGGATAAGTGATAAATCCAATCTATAAAAGCAACCACTTTAAAGTAGGCTCTTCCTTTTGCTATTTTAATCCTGCCCCCCTTATATTATTCTGGCTTTTAAAAAAACACAAAGGCATACTCTGAGAGACAACTGGTTTAGGACTAGAGGATTATAAATTTAATAAAACATCTAACTACTCAGAAAATCATCTGTTAGCTAAAAATAACAATATACAAAAAAAAATGCTTCTCTTTCACTTTTTGTGGACCATTTAAGCCAAACCATACTACATTTTTGATGTGCCAAGAAAAAAGGATTCCATACTGATCTGTTACACATATAAACTCTGGCAAAAAAAAATTATTTTTCAAACACAAATGTTTACTATCCTATTCTTTCCCCTAAATTAATCAGCAATAAAGAGTGCAAATTAAAATCCCTTACCACTGATAAACTGGGAGTCTAAGCATCTACTAAGTGTGAGAGTAAAAATGAGAATTAAATTACATAAATATTACATTAAGTGCCAAAAAGTTGAAATCTTCTATACGTTTCTAGATCTATTAAGAATTACAGAAACATGAAATGCATTTATAAGCTCTCCAAAAACAATTTTCAAATTAGTAGAGGCATTCAGGCATCCTGTTCCCTAGATATGAAAAACAGGCATTAAAATTCGGGCATATATGTCTGAAAAGCATTTTCTAAATTACAACTTAAATCAGAATAACAAAGGAAAACAAATTCGGCAAATATAAAAGACTAAGCAAATGTAAGGTGTTAAATATTCTGAGTAAGAAAAAGGGCCTAAGAGGCCTAGAAAGATGAAAAGCAAAGCCCTACAGTAACGTTAAATTTGAATTAAGGAATACCGTTATTTAAATAAGCAGTTAGCATTTCGTGGGAGGAAGGCCAAGCAACGTGACTATTACATATCTATCGATTCACAGCACTGCTTTGCTATTCCATACTTATTTGCTTATACTTATAATATAGAAATAAAGAGGCAGCAACAGTTAGCCACTACAACATTCACCACTCTGGCAAAGGTTACTTAAAAATGGCCTTGCATTTTTACAACACTTTACAGCTATAGATTATTTTCACATATATGACCTCATATATTCCTCATAACCCTGTGATGTGGGTATGTATTACTGACTCGATTTCATAGATAAGAAATCGAGGCTCGGTACACGATTTTCTCAGAGTCACCCAGTCGAACCCAGACCTTCCGATTCCACGTTTTATGCCTCGCATTTCGCATAGTTCTATTTCAGGCATAAATAGAATTTTTAAAGGGAAGGAACGGGTTAGAGAAAAAATAATCATGGTACCTGCAGCTGTGTGCTGCAAAAAATGGCTGAATTATGCTTCTTCCTTTTTTTCTCGCTCTCTCTCTCTCTCTCTGAAAAAAATTAGATTTCAAACAATTTAAGTAAACTCAAAGACAAATTAGGTCCCGGCGTCTACCAAATGTTTGACTCAGGTCTGTGCAGAGAGGGCCATCGAATTCGTGCCTAGTTCGGGGCCGCGGGCGAAGCCCGGGCTCCGCAGGCCAGCGGCCAGGGGCGGCTACGCACCTCGGGGGTCCTGTCCAGCCTCTAGTGGACGGCAGTCTGCATCAGGAAGAAACGGGGCCGGCGGGCCGATCGGTGGGCGGTCGGGCGCCGGGACGGCACTCGGCAGGCTCCTCGAACGTCTACAAGGAGCCGCTCCCGGCCCAGGCCAGAGCGCTCCGGCGGGGGATGAGTCCTCGCTCCTGCGGCCCCCTCGGAACCAGTCCTGGGAAAGAAGACAGCGTTGAGTCGCGAGTCCAGACAGTCGGGCTCGGCGCGAGGCGGCGCGGCGTCGGGGCCGGCCTTGCCAACGCCGGGGGCCTTGCAGCGCCCGGCGGGGCTCGGCGGGAGCGCCAACTGGGGCTGCGGGCAGGGAAAGGGGCTGGGGGCAGCGGGCAGCAGCAGAAGCGCCGGCTGTGGCGGCGTCGACGACGACGTCTCCGGGCTTCTGCCCCGAAGCGCGCCGAGCCTCAGGATCACCCACGCCGGGGGTGGAGGAAGGCGGGAAAGGGGCGGGCAAGGGGCGGGGCGTGCGGGGCCACGAGCCAGGGGCCGCTCCGGGCCGCGCGCCCCCTGCGGGCCGCGGGAGC